GCATGTTTATAACAGTATTTATAGCGTCTTTGTAACAACAAATGCATGAAAGTCATTTCTTAAAAATCTTGTTTACATTTTCCATGGTTTTAAAGAATGTAAACAAATATTAAATGTACGGGTTTAAAAGGTTAATCAGTTAAAGAATGTAAGTTATCTTATAGACTGCAATAGTCAAACATTTACTTTTTTTCGATTGTCTGCTTGATTTTAAATATCCTATTTAAGTTATAAATATTTAAGATATATCTATTGTTATACGATATATATATATATATATATATATATATATATATATATATATATATATATATATATATATATATATATATATATATATAAATATATCGTATAACCAGGCCCGCAGCAACCCTTTATGACGCCCGGGGTCAAAACTTATCTAGCGCCCTGTCATAATGATTTAATTCAAAAAAGTTTAGGTACTGTCCAAATACTGTCTTTTTTTTTTTCTTTTTTTTTTTAACTAAATTCACTTTTAAAGGCCGAGGGAGTAAATAAAGTCGAGAAGGCTTCTATTTATTTTTAAAATAAATTTGAAATAAAAGTAAAAAAGAAGCATAAGATGACAAGTTACTGAACTTTATTACATTGCGAGTAACTTTGAGTTTTAAATGTAATAGATATTTTAATTGCTTCATGAGAATTTGACTCTACGGGCATAATTTAAAGCAAAATTTGGAATGACCTCGTTGTAGCACAATTTTTTTACAAGATCGTATTCAATAGATATAACTAAGAAATTGGTAAGCCGGTCTTGACTTATTGTAGATCTTAATGATGTCTAGACCAAGCTTACTGAAAGATCTCTCTTTCGGCAATGGAAACGAGAACCGTGTTAAAAATACGTAACAAAATGCCTATTGATTTAAAGATAGACTCTAGACCTTTTTAATAGATTCCATTTAATAGCTTCATTGAAGTGAGATATTCTTTTGGACTGAAAAGCTTGGCGTGCTTCAGAATATCCATATGATGGACCTCTAAAATTAGTTTGTCTTCATCTACATTGTTCACATAAATTTGCACCAAAGTCTTACATTTCTCCTCCAGGCTAGGTAGTTCAATTTTTTTCACTCGACCTACTATTAGGTTCCGAGAACCATAGGAAGGAGAAACTGTTTGTCATTTTTTCTGCAGCTCGAAATCTGTCTCTTTTTTTTTGGATTAAAGTATCGATGATCTTATGAATATCTAAATTCATAAAATCATTGATAGGAACCCTCATAAGCTTCATCTCTTCATCTAAAGTAATATTTCCTGATTGAAATGACACGCTGACAATTGCTTGGCGCACTTCGAACCAGATATTTGTCATGATAATAAATTCAAATGAATAAATTCATTTCTCCAAAGATTTTACGTCATTCAATAGATCAGCAGTTAAATCAAGTTCCTGAAGTTTGTGCAAAGAAAAAAAAATTTCTCTAGGTTGCTTAACCAACGGCTTCAAAGTCTCAATCCGTGCATTCCATCGGGTTTGTGAGATTTGAAATGACAATGAAGAGACAAACCAATTGTCTTGGTAAAGATTTGACATTGTATAGGGCTTCCACTAAAAAGATTGTAGAGTGACTGAATCTGGCCAAAATAGTTCTTCATTTCTATAGAAGATTCAAGGGAATGAACACCAGCTAGGTTAAGGTTATGAGCGCTGCATTATATTCTAGAAATCCATAATTATCTTGGCAATATCCACAATTTTCTTTTGTTTAAGATTTTCGACCTAAAGAAAGCGCTCCTTAACTACCTGTCTTTTATCAATAACTGTAGACAAAGCGGAGAACAAATGCAATTTGCTCAGTATAAGAGACGTCAGGCGTTCCGTCGACAAGAATAAAATAGTAAATTACTTTTAATGATGGCACCGTGGACGATACTTCCGCACTGTTTTATAAATTCATTTTGGGAACTCCAACCCAAAAAATGCACAATAATTTGTTTACCTTCATGTTGACATCAGGAAACCTCTTTCCGACAAAGACAAAGCGGAAAACAAAAGCAACTTGTTCAGTATAAGAGACGTCAGGCGTTCCGTCGACAAGAATAAAATAGTAAATTACTATATGCGCATCTTTAATGATGGTACCGTGGACGATTCTTCCGCACTTTTTTATAAATTATTTATGGGAACTCAAACCCAAAAAATGCACAATAAATTATTTACCTTCATGTTGAAACCAGGAAACCTTTTTCTGATGTAACTAACGGGTCTTGTTGCACTTTGCGATTAGCTATAGAGTTTTTTTTTTTTTTTTTTTTTTTTAATTGCATTCACTCCCAACAAGGCTGCAAGCAACCACTATTAAGTTGGGAGTTACTAGGAAAAAAAAGAACAGAGTTATAGAGCAAGGAAACGGTTGACAGAAGACTTGAAAAGTTGAAGGTTGTAGGAGTCAGGAAAACATGAAGATGGGAGAGAGTTCCAAAGGATTGAAGTGCGGGGAAAAAAACTAGATGAATAAAAGTTTTTAGAGCATGCTGGGACAGATACAGTAAACGAATGAGACTTAGCTGAATGACGAGTAAAACGAGAATGAATTTTAGTTGATGGAACTAGAGATGATAACTCCTTTGAGCAGTGACCATGATAGTATCTGTAGAAAAGAGAAAGAGATGCAACTTTACGACGATGGGAAAGAGGTTCAAGCTTAGCAGATAGTCCAGGTCCAACAACATTTACAATGCGTTTTTGGACCTTGTCAAGAAGAGAAAGTGAATCGTTAGAAGAATCAGCCCAAATATGACAACAGTATTCCATACAGGGACGAATAAGAGATTTGTAGAGGTAGAGAATGGAATCAGAAGTAAGGAAATGGCGAGCACGATAAAGAGAAGCAACCTTAGCAGAAGCTAATTTAGCAATCGATTGTATATATGGTTTCCATGAAAGGTCAGTAGTAAGCGATAATCCAAGAAGACGTAAAGAGGACGACTCAGTAAGAGGATTGCCATTCATTATTATAGGAATGTTGACCATACTACGGTAGTTGTTTGCAGTAAGCAATTGGGTTTTTTTAGAGTTGAAATTCACAAGCCACTGCGAACCCCAATCTATTACTGAAGTGAGATCAGATTCAAGATCAGCTGCTTGTTCTAGGCGATCGAAAAGAGAAGACTTTTTGTCAAGACAGGAATATAAAGTTGAGTCATCAGCAAAAAGAGCTACTTTAGATGAAAGGTTGTCAGGAAGATCGTTTATGTAGATAAAAAACAAAACAGGGCCCAGGATGGAACCTTGGGGAACCCCAGAAGTTACTGGAAATAAAGAAGAGTGTTGGCCTTCAAGGATGACTTTAATAAACCGATCAGAAAGAAATGATTTGATAATCTCAAAAACTTTCCCAGAAACACCATATGAAGCAAGCTTATGGAGAAGACCAGCATGCCAAACTTTGTCGAAAGCTTTAGATATGTCGAGAGCAATAGCCCTAGCCTCACCGCTTTCATCTAATGCACGATAAAATCTTTCAGTTACAGCAGTTAGCAAGTCGGCCGTAGAGCAAGAGTATCGAAAACCGTATTGATTGTCTGACAGCAGTTTATTTGACTCAAGATGAGATGTGAGGAATTTGTTGATCAAAGACTCAAAGATCTTGCTAATAACAGAAAGAAGACTGATCGGACGATAATTGGAGGGGTCAGAATTTTCTCCAGAGTTTTTGAATATTGGAACCACAGATGCCATTTTCCAACAAGCAGGAAAACAAGACTCAGTCAAACACTTGTTAAATAGTTTAGAGAGAATTGAAGAAAGTTCTGAAGAACAATTCTGCAAGACTGTGACAGGAATGTTGTCTGGACCACAAGCTGTAGACGAGTTTAATTGAGATATGACTTTAGCAACAGAAGCCGGAGTGATTTGAATGTCTAACAATGGGTCAACCTGTTTGACTGGAATGGAAGGAAGAGAATGTCCATAAGATTCAAGAGTGGAATTAGAAGAAAAGTTCTTTGCAAACAGTTCTGCCTTATCCCTGGGAGAGGTAACAAGATCAGTCCCATGAATGAGAGATGGAATGTTAGATCTACCCTTGTTAACAATGTTGTTGAAGATTTTCCAAAAGTCTTTAGAGCCTAACTTCTGCGATAAGATGCGAGATTTAGTGAACTGAGAATAATGGAGTTTAGCATCAGAAAGCACCTTTTTACATCGATTTCTTGCAATAATAAATAGCCGTTTGTTCTCAAGAGAGTTGTTCTTTTGAAAAAGATGAAAAAAATGGTTACGATTGGATATAGCAGCCGCACAAGAAGGAGAAAACCATGGAGTAGAATGAGGCTTGACTTGAAACCGACGAGAAGGAATAAAAGCTTCCATTCCAGCCTGAATCCAGGAGGTTATGTAGGAGGCGCATTTGTCAGCTGAGAGAAAAAACATTAGCCTAAGGACCATCACGAAGAAAATCACGAAAGGAATCCCAGTCAGCTTTAGGGTAGTAGTAGGTGGTGCGATGATAAGGTGAACCCAAAAAAGAAGTACGAGAAGAAAGATTTACAGAGATCATTGCGTGGTCAGAACCACCTAAGGGAGAAAAGGGAGAAACTGAACATAAGCTAGGGTCAGAGACAAGACATAAGTCAAGGAGTGAAGGTAAATGATTAGGGTTGTCAGGAAAACGAGTCACAAAGTTAACTATCTGAGTGAGAGATTGAGAAACGCAGAAGTTAAAGGCTTTAGTGCCAGCAGGATCAGTGGTGTTAGAGCCAAGCCATTCAGTGTGATGGGCATTAAAATCACCAACAACAACAATATTGGCAGAGGGGTAAAGAGAGAGGGCATGGTCAATTTGATCAGAGATAACATCTAAAAGAGTGCAATCATGGGAAGAAGGAGAACGATAAAGAACAAAGAGAAAGGTGATAGAGTGAAGAGGTGCTAGGCAAAAGCACATAAAAGAATGGTCAAAGGATTCGAACCTGATTTCACGACAAATAGGGGAATTAATGCGTATGTATACCCCTAAACCTAGCATGTGACT